ACACCTAAAGACAGCATTGAATGCCCATTACAGATGGTTGTGAGCTACCATGTGGTTGTTGGGAATTGAACAGTTTTAATAAAATTCTGGTCTCTTCACTCCCAGTTCCTGGATACCACTATTCTATTCTTTCCTATGATTTTCACTTTTTAAGACTTTCTGTATGAGATTGTGTGATACCACTTCCTATGCTGGGCTTATTTTATTTCATGAAATGGCTTCTAACTGACACAGTGCCTCCTTCCTTTTAAAGGCTGACTAGTATTCCATTGTGTATATACGCTGTCTTAGTTAGGGTTTTACTGCTGTGAACAGACACTATGACCAGGGCAACTCTTATAAGGACAACATTTAATTTGGGCTGGCTTACAGGTTCAGAGGTTCAGTCCATTATCATCAATGCAGGAGCATGGCAGCATTCAGGCAGGCAGGCGTGGTGCAGGATAAGCTGAGAGTTCTACATCTTCATCTGAAGACTGCTAGTAGAAGACTAGCTTCCAGGCAGCTAGGATGAGGTCTTAAAGCCCATGCCCACAGCAATACATCTACTACAGCAAGGCCACACCTTCTAATAGTGTCACTCCCTGGACTGAGCATATACAAACCATCACGTATGCTATATTTTCTTCACTGAGGAATTGTTGGGCACTTACTTTGATTACAGTCTTGGCAAGAGTCCTTTAAAATTTGTATTGAACGACAAAAGAGCAGAACTAAATTCATTGAAAATAAAATAAGCTACCAAATGTGAACATCAATTGTAAGTAACTGCAAAAATAGGGCTTATGTGGTATTGATGGAGGTTAGATTAGTACTCAGAAATATGTCCACAAAAGTAAGTAAGCCTATTATTTTTTAAATAAGGATGAAAGGAATTCAATAGAGAACAGGTAACTTCTTTTTTTTTTTCATTTTTTTTTAATTTCTTTTTTTTTTTTGAGCATGAAATGCTTTTTTATAGCATGTTTTACAAGGGGAGGGGGTAAGAGGGTCCAGGTGGTGGAAAAGTATAAAATCTTCTTGGCCTGTGCCTTGAAACATGTCATGGTCTATATGGTACACTGCCTTGAATTATGATCTACCTGCTGTTCTTCAGAAGATATGGTACACTGCTTGAGTTATGGTCTCCCTGCTATTCTTAAGAAGACATGGTACTCTGCTTTGAGTCTATCTGCAGTTGCTAAGCAGGATCTTGCAGCTGCCAAGCTTCAGAGGACATTGTGCAGGTGGGGAAAGGTAGGGGGTAAGGGTAAGGGCGAGGGTCCTGGCTTCTGGCATCTCCCCCTTCTCTGTTTAGTTAGAGAAGGCGTCTTATGTTCAATCCCAACTATGTGAGTTTTGAATTTGGATGTCTAATTATGGGGGGGTCTTAGACAACTTCACAACCCCAAAACACTGATGTGAGACAAGTCACATCGATGGTCGAAGGCTTTAGGCTGTCGACGATGGGCAACGTCAAGGGACTCTGATGTGGGTGAAAGGAGGGTGAGAGCCCTGTCTTAGGCCATGTAGGCTGCACCCACTCCCAGCACCACGCACTCCTTTTCGGCTGCATTGGGTGGGCCCCTGGGAAGTGGACCTACAATAATCCCGTCATTGGGCTAACTCACAGCCATCCTGGTCTCTTGTAAATGTTCAAGTTACCAACCATTTGTCAGTTTGGGGTGTAATATTGTCATAAAGGAAGGCTCCCCAATGTTAGCGGCCATATCAAGGGTGGCCTTGGTTTAGGAAAAAGCCAATTTTTGTTGTGGTGATCAAGAGGCCAAGCTCTCTAGCAAGAGAAATGAGGGCAAAGCCAGGCATACCAGGAACCCTTCTGGAGGGCGTGGAAGTCTAGGGGTCGACCGTAGGGGGAGGCAGGGGAGCTGACAGCTGTGTCAGTCTCCTGCGGAGTCACTTCTGGATCCTCTGCAATTTTCAGCTGATGGTAATGAACTTCAACTGCCTTCTTGATGGCAGCATCAACCTGGTTCCGTGGACGACAGGTCATGGGCGATGATCTCTGTCTTGCTCAATCTTGATGTCGTGCACACATCCTCTCAATGAGGGTCCATCCGGATGGGTCCGTGCCTCGAGCCCCACGTCTGGGTGCCACTTGACCCGACCAGCGGGTCCTGGTTATTCGTGGGGGCGAGGAGGACTGCAACCTGCTATTCTTCAGAAGATATGGTACACTGCTTGAGTTATGGTCTCCCTGCTATTCTTCAGATGATATGGTACACTGCTTTGAGTCTATCTGCAGTTGCCAAGCAGGATCTTGCAGTTGCCCAGCTTCAGGGGACCTTGTGCAGGTGGGAAAAGGTAGGGGGTGAGGGTAAGGGCGAGGCTCCTGGCTTCTGGTCCATCTGGGTTAGAACTTCTAATAGCAGGCATCACGGGTGATTCAATTTTACCTGGAAAGAAAAAAGAAGGGGATTCTCAGGGAGATTTCTCTTCCCTGGATGTAAATTGTTATTCATAGTATTTATGATTGGGCCTGGCTTTTTGAGGGTATCTATTTTTTTCATTAATATTTGTGGTAGCCGGTTAGCTGTGCCTTCTGTGGTATTGGGCAGGCATATCAGTCCTCGGCTCCATAAGGGAACTGGGACTGGGGCATTCCCTTTATGGGTATGAGGGTCCTTCCCCATATCTGTGGCAAAGTTTTGTTGGTCTTGGTGGTGCCCGAGGTCACGAACATGGTCAGCAAGAGATTTGCCATGAGCTTTCAGCTTTAGAGAGAGAAAAGTGAACAAGGCATGATGGAGAGTATTTCAGGGGGACTCCTTCTGAGGGGGTACCGTTCCCCCTCTTTTGTTTTTAAAGCCAATTTTTCAGGGTTCTTGTAAAATCAGGGCAGAAGCGCCAACAGTTGCTCCTTCCACACTCAGAGAGTCATGAAGGCCTTATTTAAGGATATATAAATCTATGTTAATAATCTTTTGTCAAAGGACTTTTATAGCTCCACTGACAATTAATCAGGCTATATGATATATAGATTAGAAATAGCTTTTTCCACTTTTTGTGAGATTACCTCTCTTTTGTCAATTAACTGTTGAGGAAGTTAGGGTTTACCTCTCTCTTGAGAATATTGAACAGAGATTTAAATTCTTTTGTGGAGAGCTTAAAATAGTATCTTAGCCAATTTGCATCTCCTAGAAACTTTTGAAATTAATTTAAAATAAATAGACTCCCTTTTTTTTAAATCCTTTATCTGTGTGGGGTTTTTATTGGGTATTATACGTATTTACCTTTCAATGTTGTCTCCTTTCTCATTCTCCCCCCAAATCCCTTATCCCCTACCCCTTCCTCCTAATTTTTGTGATGGTGTGCTCCAAACATCCTCCCAGTCCCATCTCCCTGCTCTCGAATTCCAACACAGTAGGGGATCCAAACTTTTGGGGACCTTGGCCCTCCACTTTCACTGGAGTCTAACAAGGTCACCCTCAATTCCCTATACAGGTGCGTGAGTCCCTCCCTTTGTGCTCTCTGGTTGGTGGTTTAGACTTTGGGAGTTCTGGTTGAAACTTTTGATGCTCCTTCTAAAAAGGACCAACGCATTCATACTTTGGTCTTCCTTCTTCTATGTGAGTTTTATGTGGTCTATATGAAGATTCTTAGAAATTGTGAGCTTTTGGGCTAATATCCACTTATCAGTGAGTGCATACCATGTATGTTCCTTTGAGATTGGGTCATCTCACTCAAGATGATATTTTCCAGCTCCATCCATTTGCCTAGGAATTTTGTGAACTGATTGTTTTTAATAGCTGAGTAGTACTCCATTGTATAAATGTACCACATTTTCTGCATCCATTCTTCTGTTGAAGGGCATCTGGGTTCTTTCCAACTTCTGGCTATTATAAATAAGGCTGCTATGAACATGGTGGAGCATGTGTCCCTGTTGTATGTTGAAACTTCTTTTGGGTATATGCCCAGGAGTGGTATAGCTGGGTCCCTAGGTAACGCTATGTTCAATTTTCTGAGATACCGCCAGACTGCCTTCCATAGTGGTTGTACCAGTTTACAATCCCACCAACAGTGGAGGAGTGTTCCTCTTTCTCCACATCCTCGCCAACATGTACTGTCAGAACAGGTAACTTCTTATCATATGATATTGGGGCAACTAGAGCATTGGGGGAGCAGAGTTAAAAAAAAAAACAACTCTAAGAAAGTGAACCCAAGAGACCCATTGATTTAAATATTTTTTTAAAACTATCAATTTTTATGGTTGTATATGAGATCACTTTTATGTTGTAAGCTAGACCCTGAGATTCTACACCTGAAATGTGAAGCATAGTCCACCAAAGAGAAAATGATCCTTTCTATGAAAAAGAAGCTCAGGTTATCAGAGGAAAGTAGACCCCATAAATTGTGCAGGATGAGCGCATGGTCACTAAAAAGAACCTTTCCTCTTCTGTCTTCTTTCCTTTCCTAAATAAATGGGGCCCCTGTCATTTGGACCAACATTGCCATAAAACACGTGCTAGATCTCTGATTACAAAAGTCCCTTATTTCCTGAAAGTGATTTTTAGAGTGTTTTTCCCTCCTTTATCTAGTTTGCCAAGCCAAGTCCCTGTGTCCCAGCATGACAGCTCAGAGGAAGGGAAGGAGACTTCTTAGGATTCTCTATAAGTATTTCTTCCACTTGTAAACTAACCCTAGTAAGCGAAACTTCGAGGGATGCAGCCGGCAGAAAGCTAGGGCTAATGAGAAGGGCCATATCCCCTGTAGGAATATGACAGACACGTTTTTAAAAATGCCATTCTGGGATGGAGAAGGTGAAAATCTGGCTTGCCTTCCCAACGGTGTCAACAGTAAGCTCTTGATTGACAGCTTACTTCTTTCTTGAATCGTCTTTCCAGGCAGCCCGACTGGCTTTTGTTAAAAACCTTTCTCTGCATGTGAATATTTAATAGAAATGTATAGTAAGTTTATTTCAAAGCCCTCTAAACCTACCAACACAACCTTTGATACCCGGGTCTTATTTGTAAATTTCAGTCCTTTTCCCTCTTTTTAAGGTTGGTGGACATTGAAAGCGAAATCATCAAATTCTCTGCCGTCTACGCAGGAGTCGGCGTGGCTGTACTTATCCTAGGATACTTTCAAGTTAGTAGCACCTCCATTCTACTTACAGACAGACATCTGGCTTTGTAGATACCACGATGAAATACTCAGTTCCGCATATGAAGGCTCTGAGAGAGTGGGGAAGGTTCAGACAGCTGAGCAGTCACTGGGCAGGGAAGCGGGGTTGGGGCGGGGGTTGAGTGAGGTGAGGGCGAGGAAGGAGTGGACTTTTCTGGCTAAGGAGCCTCCTGCCTGACCTCCCCTATCTGCCTGGCTCTTCTCAGTGTGTAGGCTGGAGCTGGAGAGAATCAGACACTGAGAGAGCAAGAGAGCAAAATCCGTTTTCCTAAAAATTTTTTCTTTGCTGAAGTCTAACCAAGTGTCCATCCAGTCCAAATTTGTAATTTTGAATCTCAGTTTTTGCTAGTCTTAGGTGATTAAAAAAATTATTAACTAAGAAAAGTATTCCACATTTTGTTATCGTCTGTAGAAAAAAAAAGATTTCTCCATTTCATTTGTCCAATGAGTCCAGATCGCAGTAGTTCTAAAGAGAAACGGATCCATTGCTCCTATTCTGGCTTCCGTCTTCATGACACCTAATTTTTTTTTTTTTTAGATTAGGGGAAATCTATCACCACATGAGATTCCCTGCTTGGCATGATTTTTGGCTTAAATTGTCCACAATTCATTTCTTCCTTTTTTTATTGGTTATTTTATTTATTTACACTTCAAATGTTAACCTCTTTCCCGGTTTCCCCTCCACAAACCCCCTATCCCCTTCCCCTCCCTCTGCATCTATGAGGGTACTCACCACTCACCCACCCACTCCTGCCTCAACGCCCTAGCATTCCCCTATGCTGGGTCATCAAGTCTCCACAGGACCAAGGGGCTCCCCTCCTATTGATGCCTGATAAGGCAATCCTCTGTTACATACAGATCCAGCTGGAGCCATGACCCCCGCCATGTGTACTCTTTGGTTGGTGGTTTAGTCCCTGGGATCTCTGGGGGTTCTGGCTGGTTGATATTGTTGTTCTTATGGAGTTGCAAACTCCTCCAGCTCCTTCAGTCCTTTCTCTAACTCCTCTATTGGTGTCTCTGTGCTCAGTCCAATGTTTGGCTGTGTGCATCCACATCTGAATTGGGGGTAGCCTCTAGAAAGTTCAGGGATCCAAGAAGTTCCCAGGACACAACAGGGAAGACATTAATCAAAATACCCAACAAAGAGGAGATAGAACCTGTAGAGACCATAGCCAGTGGATAGGCATTGCCCCTGGCTGAGGGGATGGGGCCACACACCCACCCACTTCAAAAATATTAATCCAGCATTCCTCCTTTCAAAAGGAAATTTAGGGACAAAGAGTGGAGCAGAGACTGAAAGAAAGGCTATCCAGAGACTGCCCCACCTAGGGATCCATCCCATCAGCAGACACCAAACCCAGTGGCTACTGTTGATGCCAAGAAGCATTTGCTGACACCTGGCATAGCTGTCCCCTGAGAGGCTCTGCCAGAGCCTGACCAAATCATTTCTTGAACACTGTGCAAGGATGCCTAGAGGTGTATATACAGAAGGAGGAAGCTGAGAAAGGTTATGCAAGGCAGATGAATGGAGATCATCCATTTCCTAGTGCAGGTGCTGCCAACCTGTTTCACTTGATGGAGACAGTGAAGCCCAATACGTCAAATGGCCTGTCCACCTGCCAGAACTGGAATTAAAGCTGGATCCTTGCCATTCCCACAAATGTCAGCTTACCTCCCCATTAGCAAGGGTGTCAGAGCTCATACCCTAGTGCCCAAAAGAGGCACTTTGTCAACGGCTTCCTTCTTCTTTACAGCTAGTCCCAACCATAACCATGGGGAGTGTAGTTTTTCAGAAATAGGAGAAAGAGTAGATAAGTCTGCTTAACCTGTTTTGTGTTACCGTGCTAAACACACCTTTGTTTGTTTCTAGATAAGGTTGTGGGTAATCACTGGGGCTCGTCAGATAAGGCAAATGAGAAAAATTTTCTTTCGGAGAATAATGAGAATGGAAATCGGATGGTTTGACTGCACTTCCGTGGGGGAGCTGAATTCAAGATTCTCTGAGTAAGTAGCAAGGGCAACTAGGTTATAATGTGTCATTTAGGTTAAAAAAAATCCTTATGGCTATAAGTTAAGTAACAATTTGATCACAGTTTGATTTCAGTTTCAATTTGATTTGCTCTGTCTCATAGATGGGCAAGCGTGGCTGCCCATGGCTGTCTAGTAGGTGGGAGGTGGAGGCAGGATGATCAGAAGTTCGAGGCCAGTGTTGCCTATACAGGGCATTCAAGGCCAGCCTTGGTCACATGAAACCTTGGTTTTATAAATAAAAATAAATTAGACTTTCATAGATATGGCATTTTCGTAGATATTAGCTTATACTATAGTTACTTAAAAAAAAAAAGACAGGGTATTACAAGTTTGTGTATAGACCATTGGTCCAAATGTTAGATGTGAAATATAACAAGAGAAGATTTAGATACATGATGTTATTTGACACACAGTGAAACTGAGAGATGGATGATCTAACCCACACACACATGGAAAAAAACACGCTTAGAAGTCATTCTTTTGCTATGTCTATGGAGGTGTAGAAAGAAACCCCCAAATAAATTCCAAAAGTAGCTTGAGAAAGTTAAAAACAAAATAAAACAAACAGACAAAAAATTAGCAGACAACAGATTTAAAGACAGCTTAAAGTAGTTGGACTCTCCTGAACTGAACATGAAGCCCTGCTAAAGTCAATGCGTGTATTGTGAAGGATATGAGGGAGGCCAGTCTGAGGAATGCTTGGTAACTTGAGACTCTTAGGTTTGGGATATACACACCCTCCCTCTTACAACAATGTACTTGGCAGCCTAACTCCTTTGCATTCAGGACACACACACACACACACACACACACACACACACACACACACACGTCTACCTCCAAGCAATGCTCTTAGCAACCCCAGACTCCCTCCTGTACTGACTACACTTACAGATCTCTGTACAATGGATAAGTGTCTCCTACCTTAACAACCATCATATTTGGACAGTTTCTACCCTGTATATCTGTGTATAGACATAGAAGGGCCTAAAGTGCTTTTGAGAACCTGCTCAGTAAATCAAAAGTGTGTACTTGGGTAAGCTTTAGGGAAGATCCTCTATCTTCCATCTTATGCTTACAAATAACTGGGCATGCATAAGGTTAAAGTTAGGTGCATTTTAGAAAGAGACATGTCTACTGGGAAATAATAAATAGTGCCAAAATCTACCGATAAAAACACCATCCAAACGATTCCCCCTTAGTAACCAGCCCCTCTTTTCTTTAGAGCGCACAAAAACCAAATCTCAGGCCATGTGATATGGGACACTTGAGTACTATGTGGCCTATACAGTCTATACTCTATGCTATCACTTCAGTCTGAATAAAGTTATTTTGCTTCTTTTACAATTCTATGTGAACCATTATTTTAGATCTTTAAATAAGAGGCCAAGAACCCTTGAAGACACCATCAGCCAGTAATGTCAGAGTGGAAGTTTGAGTGTCTAGAACCAGCCCTTGCTTTCCCACCACTCTCTGTGACCATTGACAGATGCTTAACCGTACTAGAATACAATAGTTAACTTCTGGGTGATGGCTTGAGTTCCTTCTTGCTATTAAATACCAACCTATCTGCTCCATCCAGACAAGAAATTAAGGGAATGCTCTCAGGTTTATGAATTTAATGCAATTATATTCAACCAATATTCCACAATACTTTCCATCCCTGCTCTGAAGCTCTGGAATACCTTGAAGTACTCCAGAGGTAGGAGTCATAACATTAGCAAGCAAAGAAGTGATCCAAAGTAACACATATCGGCTCTCATTACACTGGGTACTGTTCTACGTGCTTGTACATAATTACTGAACTGTAGGCAGTTCTTCTATTACCATCTTTTTATAGACGAGGAAACTGATACCCAGAAACTTGAATAATTTTCCCAAGAAGAGCTTGTATTCAAATTCAGAGTGTGGTCCCAGAGTCTGTGTTCTTAGCCACCAGTCTCTACTGCCTATAAATAGAATATGATAAAGATAGATAGATAGATAGATAGATATCAGACAGATACAGAGGAAGACATATAGACAGACAGGTAGGCAGATAGACTAATTTCTTTGCTATGGATGTATAAGGAGATGATATGGGTTTTTCCTGGGAATGATCCAGAGGTTTGGAATCCACATCAGCATGCAAAGTTCACACACACACACACACACACACACACACACACACACACACACACACAGCTGACTATAGGGATTGAGGTTTGTATCTTCCCAAGGTGTGAGAAATTCCGAAAGGTGTGAGACGGAGTCCTCACTTCTCATTAAAGAGTGACAGCAGAACAGAAGCATACGAGAAAACAGAAAGTTAAACTGACAGAATTCAGTTATACTGATCTACACCTCTCTTATTTCTAGTGATATTAATAAAATCAATGACGTCATTGCTGACCAGTTGGCCCTCTTTCTCCAGCGCCTGTCGACGGCTGTGTCTGGGTTACTTTTAGGCTTCTATAGGGGTTGGAAACTAACCTTGGTGATCCTCGCTGTCAGCCCTCTCATAGGGATTGGGGCAGCCATCATAGGTCTGGTAAGAATGTTTTGTTTTGTTTTGTTTTTTTTTAACTTTGTTTCATGGAAAGATGTACACGTACACCCACAAAAAGCCAAAACATGATGCTTGGATGCCTTCCCCAAGTGTAGTCAATGTGCTTGTCAATGTATTGATTTCTAATGTTTGATTACTCCTCAGTATCAAATAATGCTCCAATTATTATGTAATGTGGCCCTCTAATAAAGGTGATATCACTCATAACTCTTGAATATCCTTACTACTGTGCAAACTGTCTATATTTCAGAAATAAATTAGATAGAGGTGGGATAAAAGCTGCAATGCTATCCATTGAACTTGAATGTGTAAGGGAAAACAGCTTTTTAATTTACAGATTTTATAAAATGTAGTCTGAGTAAATGATAAAAAATATTGTTGAAGCTATTTTTATTTATTTTATGTTTATAAACGGTCTAATATTTTGCTAGTAACAGTTCTACTAAAGGTCTAGAAGAAAATCCCTGTTAGAATATACACTCTTGTCATCCGAGTACTCTATGTGTCTTAGATCTCTGAGTTAAGTGTGTTTCTACAATATTAGCTTCCTCCTCTTTTTCTTATTGTTGTTGTTGGTTAGTTTTGCTTCTGACAGGCTTTCATCTATCTCAGATTGGCTACATTCTCACTTAGCTGGGGCTAACCCTGAATCCCTGTTTCTTTTGCATGTGCTGTGATCACAAGCATGTCACCATGTCCAGCTACTTTTGACTAGGACTCAGTCCAAGACCAGTTTTAGAAAAGTGACTTTCAAAAAATTACTGAACACAGTTGTCTTTTTCTTTTGTAAAAATTAAAAATGTAGTAAACCCCTTATGTTTGAGTTAAAATATTTACCGGATGACTTCTCCTTTGGAATTCCCTTTGCAATGCTGTGTCTGTGTACCCTGGTCCTTGCTTTCCCTCTATACTCTAGCCAACCATGTGCCTACATAGGCCTCCAGTTCTTTCCTCTGATATTTGTAAATTCTGCAATGGTTTCTTTTTAATATCGAAGGGATATATCATAGTTTGACTTAAGGACCCCATTAGCACAACAGCTGAAATATTAGTATTACCAGATTTGAGGGTACTTAACTCTACGAGAACATTTTCATTGAGATAGACTTACTCTCATTTTAACATACCCAAATCCAAACACCCATGGATGATGTTTAACACAAGCTAATCTTGGACCAGTTTTTTCTCTCTGGTTACAGTGGAACACCTTGTGTTTTGTTGAACCATGCCACCTGTTGATTTCATTAAATGAATCACTGACTGACTGGCCAACTCCCTTTTTATTCCTTTGGATTTTAGAGTGTGGCCAGGTTCACGGAGTTTGAGTTGAAAGCGTATGCCAAGGCGGGGTCTATTGCTGATGAAGTCCTTTCATCTATTCGAACAGTGGCTGCCTTTGGTGGTGAGAATAAAGAGGTTGAAAGGTTGGTTATTTTGAATGCCAATTGTTCTCCTGAATTTCATGAATCAATAAAGATCCCTGACTTTTTTTTTTCATTTTGTACAAAGTGGCAGATCCACTATGATTTAGAGCAACAGCAGGGTGAGGGGAGTGCTACAAAAGGTGTAAAGCAATGTTTTGGGGTTTTGGTTTACCTTGTGGATCTTGCTATATAGACCAGGGTGGTCTTGAGCTCATGGTCTCCTGCCTCAGTCACCCAAGTGCTGGAATGAAAGGTATGAACTACCTTGCTTAGTACCTGGAGATGAGCTTCAGAGAGCTGAATAGGCAAGAAGCTTCTTTCAAACGCTGATGGTATAAAAGCGTACATACTATATACCTCATGTCAACCTTCAGCAGCATTTTCTGCCATTAAAGGCAATCTACTGCATTTAGTAAGCATGTCTACGTGCTTAACAGACAAAAGACTACACAGACAGCACAGAAATGCAACAGACATGAACAATTCAGCAAAAGTGAATGAATGATTCTACATCACATTAAAAAGCATCCTAACAGAAACAGCTCATAGAAAAGACAACCATCAGAAAGGGAGAAGTTACATGCAAACTATGGATCTGACAAGGGACAGCTCTAGAGATTATGTAAGGAACTCTTGAAAGTTCACTAGTAAGATAATGATTAACCCAACTTGAAAATGAGCAATAGGGTTAAGTAAACAGTTTGCAAAAGAAGATACACAAACTGTCGAGTCTATTAAAACAGCTTCATCACGGTGACTAGTCACCAGGGAAATGCAACTCAAAACCAGCATGTAAAACTAACTCATCCTAGTAAGAATAGCTGTTGGCAAATGGCTAACAAGGATAAGGTGGAACCCTTGTACACTATTGGTAGGCATGCAAATGAGTAAGTCAAAAATTTTGCAAAAATTTTTCTCAACAATAAAATAAGAACAATCATGTGATTCCACAATCCTACTTCTGGGGACATACCCAAAGGAACTGAAACTACTCAGTGTAGTAGGCATCTACACCTTTGGGTTTGCTGTAGTGCTGTCCATAAGAGAGCTAAGGTATAGAGATGACATTAGCGCCCGTTAATTGGGGAATGCAATACAATTTGATCATAAAAGGAACAAAATTTTGTTATTTGTAACAATGTGCATAGCCAAACAAAATAAGGCTTAGAAAGACCTACACAACTGCACTTGTATGTGGGGAATCTACAAATGTTGATAACATAGAGGGTAAGAGTAGAGTGATGGCTGCCAGAGACTGCACAGAGAAGCAGGGAGAGATGGGCAGAGAAAGGATGACCAAAGGATTTGAAGTTACGATCAGTCAGGACAAAGTTCTGATGTGCTGATACTACACAGTACAACTATAGATAGCAATGTGCTGCATATTTCAAAAAGCAAAGAAGGATTTTGAAAGCTTGTCTTGGGCATTTTTTGTTTTTTCACTTGGTAGCCCAGGCTTTGACTTGCTACATAGCCAAGGCTGTCCCTAAACTTGGACTCTTCCCATCTCTGACTCCCTAGGTCTAGAATCACTGGTTTTACTCCGACATCCAGTTGATAAATGATTAAGATGATTCATCTATCTATCCATCCATCCATCCATCCATCCATCCATCCATCTATCTATCTATCCATCCATCTATCTGTCTATCTATCTATCTATCTATCTATCTATCTATCCATCCATCTATCCTGATTTAAACAATATACAATGTGTACATTCATCAAAGCATCACATTCTATTCCATCACCATATATATGATGTTTCGTTTTTATGTATTAGTAAAAAAAAATTAATTTAATTTACATTTTCAAAGACTAGAGGGGCCTGACTCATGTCTTGTCATCCCAGCACAAAGGAAACTGAGGCATCTATTAAAATTGGTTGTTCATCTATTGTGCCAAAAAAAGAAAGGAAGGAAAGAAAGTAGGAAGGAAAGAGAGAAAGAAAAAGGAAAGAAAAGGAATAAAGGATAGCATGATCCAAATGCAATTCCTTTTTTTTTTCATTTTTAAAAACTGTATTTTATTTCTTTTATGGGAAGAAGGGAGGATTGCATGCTCAGGACAGTGTGAAAATCAGAGGACAACTTGCAGGAGTCAGATCTCTTCTTCCACTATGTGGGTCCTAGAGGTCAGACTTGGGTCCTTGGACTTGGTGCCTTTACTCACTGGGTCGTCTTGACAGCCTCATAACATTCTTTAATTGAACATTTTAAATTGAACATTTAATTGAATATTTTGTGAAGCTATTATGATATTATATGCACTTAATAACTTTTATAATTTTTCACTTAAGCAAACAAAATTTAACATGAGTAAATTATGACATATCACTCTAGAGTCTAATTTTTAGTAAAAGTAAAAACTTAATTTGCAAAAATGATACAGTTGTCAAAAATATGTTTTTATATCAGGGAAGTGGTGGTACACACCTTAATTCCAGTACTTGGGTGACAGAGGCAGGAAGTCTTATGAGTTTGAGGCCAGTCTTGACTATACAGCAAGTTCCAGGACATCCAAGGCTACACAGAGAAACCTTATTTTGGAAAAAAGAAGGAAGGAAGGAAGGAAGGAAGGAAGGAAGAATGCATTTATTTTTGTAATTTAGCTAATATATTTTGAGCTTTTTGGTTACTTAGTTGGTTGGTTGGATGGTTGGCTGGTTGGTTTTAACATAGTCTCACTATGGGTCTTCACTGGTCTGGAATTCACCATGCTGACTAGTTTAATCTGTTGGTTTGGAGATAATTGCCTTACTTTCTGATGGAAAACATGATATATCTTCCAAGAAAACCTTTTTAACATAATTTTTAACAGCTCCCAAACAAAGGCATTTGTTAAAAATTGTTTTCTCTTGGGGCCAAAGTTACCCCACTGTTTCTCTCATTCAAGCTGCAACCAACTTCAGAGGCTTTGTTTGGGGGATTGACTATAATCACCGAATGATATTATTCACTGCAAATGCAGACACAGACACACACACAGACACAGACAGACAGGCATACACACAGACACACAGACAGACACAAAGACATACCCACAGCCCCCCCCCCCTCACACACACACACACAAACAGGCTCTCTCTCTCTTCCTCTGTTCCTCTCTCTCTCTCTCTCTCTCTCTCTCTCTCTCTCTCTCTCACACAC